TTAAGGAATTGTGGAACTTGAAAATTTGGAACTAGGAAATTTCGGAACTTGAGAATTTGGAACTAGGGAATTTTGGAACTAGCGAAGTTGGAACTAGGGAATTTTGAAACTTCAGAATTTGGCACTAGAGAATTTTGGAACTTGAGAATTTTGGAATTAGAGAAGTTGGAACTAGAGAATTTTGGAACTTGAAAATTTGGAACTAGGAAATTTCGGAACTTGAGAATTTGGAACTAGGGAATTTTGGAACTAGCGAAGTTGGAACTAGGGAATTTTGAAACTTGAGAATTTGGCACTAGGGAATTTTGGAACTTGAGAATTTTGGAATTAGAGAAGTTGGAACTAGGGAATTTTGGAACTTAAGAATTGGGAACTAGGAAATTTCGGAACTTGAGAATTTGGAACTAGGGAATTTTGGAACTAGAGAAGTTGGAACTAGAGAATTTTGGAACTTGAAAATTTGGAACTAGGAAATTTCGGAACTTGAGAATTTGGAACTAGGGAATTTTGGAACTAGCGAAGTTGGAACTAGAGAATTTTGAAACTTGAGAATTTGGCACTGGGGAATGTTGGAACTTGAGAATTTTGGAATTAGAGAAGTTGGAATAAAGGAATTTTAGAACTAGGGAATTTTGGAACTTGAGAATTTGGAACTAGGCAATTGTGGAACTTGCGAATATGGAACTAGGGAATTTCGGAACTTGAGAATTCGGAACTAGGGAAGTTTGAGTACTTGAGTACTCATATTATATGATATACATAATCCTGATATCATATAATATACATAATACTGATATTATACGATAATTACTTAATAATAACATTCATCAGTATACCCACCAAATATCTATGATACTAGTATTCCAATATCAGTATGCATTCCTATAAACACTAATACCAACGCAATTATAAATCTCAATATTTCAGATGATCAAAAAGGATAATTTTAACCGGTTCATTTACAGAAGCATGATCTTTCATTCTTTCCATACTATGTTCTCATGGTTGCAATTCCAATTGTGGGTCAATCGATATGCTCTATTCGAAACTTGACGTAAATGTGTATTTATAACATTCGCATCGCCAAATCGCTGCATCTTCTTTTATTATCCTTGAAAAATGTAGAACAAAGAAAATATGATCCTCTCCTTACCATTTCCTGCTTCGTCCTTCTATTTCGTACCTAATTGAAGCAAAACGTAAACATCGAGATTATATCAAGGTTATATATTTACAAGGTTAACATTATTGTCATGGGAGACTTTCGGTATATTGCCAAAAATTAAGGGCTGATCATGTAATGAGTGATGATGCATTTGGCTATATAATGCGAGGCAAAATAATTGGAGCAATTGGGACTTCTGCTTATAGATTGGTAGAACTTCATATTGGATCAAGAACTATAGAATTTGGGAACTAGGGAATTTAGAGATGTCGAAGTTTAGTAATTTAAGAATTTGAGAAATTTTTAAAATTTGGGGAATTTTGGGAATTTGAGAAAGTTGTAGACTTGGAATTTTGTGGATTTGGGAGTTTTTAAAATTTGAGACTCAACTAACTCAGAAATCCGACAGTGTGTAACAGCGGCAATATAACGAGAGCCCACCACATTGCAGTACCTCCCCAAACTCCCCAAGACTTTACAAAAATCATCACATACCAGTAATCTCGTAGAATCTCCTCAACCCTTGTCAGTAGACTTTTGTCAACCCTTCCAAAACCTTTCCAAATCCACCAAAACTCGTCACCTCCTGAATACTTCTTCCTCCCATCACCGATATTCCCCATACACATGGTCCCATAGATCTGCGTGTCACAAAGGGCATCGTCCGTCCCATAGTCAGCGTCGAACTGTTGGCTCGTTCGTTTGACCAGTCGCTTTTAAATCATCTGGTGTGCCCCGTAAGCGCAGTTTCTAACTTGCATCACGTGATGTGCCGGGTGTCTCGTTGGAAATTGAAATGTTCCGTGGTTTAGCACGGCCCAGTCGTTAGACATCCTCTGTCGTGGCCGCATTAGCGTTAGGAAGTTCCCCTGTTGGATAGATAGCGTTTTCGCATTGTCTGGCGGCTCGACAGATTTTTCCGTTTCCCTTGTTGCGGATGTGCTTAATCTGGTGAGTCTGGATCGCGAGTTTGCTCGTAATTTACCGTGCTCTTTGCGATTTCTGGCACGATACCCTGTCATCTGGAGACGCAGCGATACCCTCTCTGCTGATCTATTCGGAATAATATTAGTTTTGGAATCATTGCGTATCGAACGCTTGGGATTCTTGGATGCTGCAAATTTATTAAATGATTTATTTGTCTCGTATGCTGATTTGTTAAATTTGCTGTCGATGTTCATGGAGAGATGGGTAATCGATGCTACAGGGATATCGATGCTATCTTTTAATCTCATTGTTCACTACTCGATTTGATTCATTGGTGCTTGGAATTAGAGATCAAATGTAGTCACGTGTCCTGGTACTCTATTCAAATATTCTACTATTTTATTATTTCTTTATACTAATGTACTATTATGCTATTTTGCTAATGCATTACTTTACTATTCTACTAGTCTATTATCCTAGTATACTACTATATAATTGTACAACCATATTACTGTATCATCATAACACCATGCAATCTTATTACTATACAGTTATGTTACTATACCACTATATCGCTATACTACTATATTACTATACAGTTATGTTACTATACCACTATATCGCTATATTACTATATTACTATTCTACTATATTAGTATATTACTATATTGCATTACTGCTATGTTACTATTCCACAATATTGCTTTGCTATTGTACTACCATACTACTGCTGCACTGATCCTATTATAGTGCCATGCTGCTATTCTACTTGCTATACCAGCATTCTGCGATACATTCTGTGATATAGTATAGTTACTATAGTTCCACTGACTTTATTACACAATAGCACTATTATACTACCATCTTATGCACTACAGATGTTAATTTATTGATCTCACTGACTGATCTCATCACATTTGAAAGTTTATACAAAATTCTACAGACTTGCGAATGTAGTAATCTTTGCAGTCATTAAATATTTTTGAAATTCGATATATTTAAATATAGGAAGATTCAGTAGATTACATATGGATGTTTATCAAGAATGAACATCATCTCAAGTATTGAGAATGAAGAAGCTTCCGATATTTGAACAGCACAACTGAGTAGATGAGGACATGCTTCGCGTGTAACGTCGTTGCTAATATAATTCATCGAAATGGACAAACGCTAATTTTTCTCGATTCACATAAAATGCAAGTTAATTCATTTTTCTATTCAGAGATCAATTGATCAAATCAATAAAAACTTTGTAATTTATACGCAACTTGCTTGCTTAGGTTGAAAAATGTAGCGAACGAAGGAGTATATAAAAAAAACTGTATTATGATTCATAAATTCTAGTGTATCCGCGCGTTCTCTAACAGCTCTCTTCATCAGGTGGCAAAATACTTTCGCTGTCTAAAATTAGCGAACGCGTAAATATACATATGTGTTCTTGTGATATTGTTTCGGGGCTATGCGTTCACGAGCTGGTTGACGTGTTCCCCTAATGCGACCCGAGGAAGTAAGAATTAGGAGATCGATTACTATACTTAAGCCAAGTAGCCCTACGTTTCAACTCGCTACAATTGTTCAAGTGTTTTAGCTGACGTCATTGTGACGCCTTTGTCCGAAAATTTTCATTATCTCAAACTAAATTGTTAACCACTAATTTTATCATAGTTTGTTAATTAACTTTGATAAAATGACCTGCACTATTACCAAATTTCAGACCTAGGGTATTTACTGTTTAGGGGAATTTGGGATCTAGAAAATTTTTGTCAGGGGAATTTGGGATCCAGGGTATTTTTGTTTAGGGTAATTTGAGATCTAGAGAATTTTGTCTAGTGGAATTTGGGATCTAGGGAATTTTGATCTAAGGTAATTTGGGAACTGGAGAACTTGGGATCTAGGGGAATTTCAGATCTAGGGTATATATTGTCTAGTGGAATTTGGAATCTAGAGAATTTTAATCTAAGAGAATTTGGGGTATAGAGAATTTTGTCTAGTGGAATTTGGGATCTAGGGAATTTTGATCTAAGGTAATTTGGGAACTGGAGAACTTGGGATCTAGGGGAATTTCAGATCTAGGGTATATATTGTCTAGTGGAATTTGGAATCTAGAGAATTTTAATCTAAGAGAATTTGGGGTATAGAGAATTTTGTCTAGTGGAATTTGGGATCTAGGGAATTTTGATCTAAGGTAATTTGGGAACTGGAGAACTTGGGATCTAGGGGAATTTCAGATCTAGGGTATATATTGTCTAGTGGAATTTGGAATCTAGAGAATTTTAATCTAAGAGAATTTGGGGTATAGAGAATTTTGTCTAGTGGAATTTGGGATCTAGGGAATTTTGATCTAAGGTAATTTGGGATGGGGTATAGAGAATTTTGGTCTAGTGGAATTTGGGATCTAGGGAATTTTGATCTAAGGTAATTTGGGAACTGGAGAACTTGGGATCTAGGGGAATTTCAGATCTAGGGTATATATTGTCTAGTGGAATTTGGAATCTAGAGAATTTTAATCTAAGAGAATTCGGGGTCTAGAGAATTTTGTGTAGTGGAATTTTGGATCTAGGGAATATTGACCTAAGAGAATTTGGGGTCTAGGGAATTTTGGTCTAGGAGAAATTGGGATCTAAGAAATTTTAAGATATAAAACTTGGAGTCTAGGGAATTTTTGAGCCATGAAATTTCTAGTCTAGGGATTTTTATAATTTTGCATTTTGAAATCTAGGGAACTATTCAAGTATAGAATTTGAGATTCAGGGAATTTTTGAGCTATGTAATTTAGCTTAGGGAAGTTTGAAATCTTTGGGACTCCTTCAAAATGATGATATTTGAAGAAGTTGCAGATTTATAAAGCTGAAACTTTGCTGATTATAAAATTTGTACCTCACAATTAATTTATCGTGAAAAAAGTAGGAAATTGAATTAAAATGATTCAGCATTTTGCTTGTTTGTATCTTTTATTTCAATGAAAGCTATCGTCAATGAAATTAATAGCTAAGATTAATGTATTTAATAATAGCTTACTGTTTGGTTTTTCATTTACGAAGCTATTTCTTAGGGAAGTCAAGGTTCGCCAGTGTTAAATTAGGGTGTGCAGTTTCTAGAGCAAAACACAATTTTGAGGGTTCGTCCGACGCTGCCAAAATACACTATTAAATGTAATTAGCTGTGACTATTGAGAACGAACTAAATTCCACGGTTAAAAGAAACCAGCGGTGGTGATTTTGTTATGGATAGAGGTTGAGGTAGTTCGAGCTGTATTTATTTCGAGCAACGCATTATTTTAGTACCTCGTAACTAGGTTGTATTAGGATTTTAGAAATATGAAATGTAGCGAGTGTTAGGTTACTGTCAAGTTCATTTGAGCTAGTAATTTGTCATACCTATAATGCTCAAGCATAATTCTTAGCACAATAAGCGCATGAGGCTCTTGTAATTTATCTTTTATTAATTCTTCTCATTTTTGTTCTCAAATCATTGGATTCTGATTCGATCATTTTTTACAGGGAAAGTCAAAGACCATTCGACAAACAGGGTTTTTTAGAAAGAAGAAACGATTCTATTTTCAACGTAACAGGTAATTTTATTCAAGATACAAATTTTTGAAATATCGAGCCATCTATCCTATTTTCGTATCGATAATTGTCGTTCCAATTAAGTCGCTAATTAATTATTTCCCCGACGGTTTCAATTCATTGACTTGCATGATCAACGTACGAATATATTCGACAAATGTGAATCTCTCAAACGTTTATTTTCGTGTTAGTTCCATTAATTTAATCACGGTTAGTGGAAACGGAGGATTCACGTGCAAGAGTAAGGTTGACGAGCTTGAACTTGCTAAACGTTCCACGAACAGCGATCGTCCGGTTTCTGATTGCGTAACTTAATCGTTCACTACGATTTTAACCTAATTGTTTCTTCCTGACTATGCTTTTGCACGTTGAATCGAGTTACTTTGCAATTTCCATTGATAACCCGTACTGATAAACTCGTAGCAACAATCCGTTCATTTAATCGTGTACTTTTATTACTGCGATTTTTAATTTCTCGCATTTATATCAATTACATTAATTATTAATTCACGCGTAACATTATATCGCATTATATCGCCATCCGTTGCATATCCACGCGTTATATGGCCACTCGTTACATATGCACGCGTTGTATCGCTACGCGTTGCATACCCATGCGTTATATCGCCACTCTTTACATACCCACGCGTTATATCATCACTCTTTGCATACCCACGCGTTATATCGCCATTCGTCGCATACCCACGCGTTATATCGCCACTCGTTGCATAGCCACGTGTTATATCACCACTCTTTGCATACCCACGCGTTATATCACCACGCGTTGCATACCCACGCGTTATATCGCCACTCGTCGCGTACCCACGCGTTATATCGCCACTCGTCGCATATCCACACGTTACATCACCATTCATTGTATATCCTCGCATACCACTCTTTGCATTTCCACGTGTTATATCACCACGCGTTGCATACTCACGCGTTATATCGCCATTCGTTGCATACCCACGCGTTATATCAGCACTCTTTGCATTCCCACGCGTTATATCGCCACTCGTCGCATACCCACGCGTTATATCGCCACTCGTCGCGTACCCACGCGTTATAGCACTACTCTTTGCATTCCCACGCGTTATATCGCCACTCGTTGCATACCCACGCGTTATATCACCACTCGTCGCATACCCACGCGTTATATCGCCACTCGTCGCATATCCACGCATTATATCGCCACTCGTCGCATATCCACACGTTACATCACCATTCATTGTATATCCTCGCATTATATTGCCACTCGTTGCATACCAACGCGTTACATTGCTACTTATTCATATCCTCGCATTATATCGCCTCTCATCTATATCCTCGCATTATATCACCATCTGTTCCACATCCTCGCATTATATCACCATCTGTTCCACATTCTCGTATTATATCACCATCCATTCCACGTCCTCGCATTATATCACCATCTGTTCCATATCCCCGCATTATATCACCATCCATTCCACGTCCTCGCGTTATATCGCCACCAGCTGTATCACCTTATGCAATATAACGAGAGTCTACTTTGTGTCGTAAACATAAACAATTTAATTCAAAATAACTTTCAAGTTGACATCTCGCATTATTTAAGAGGAGATACAAAGTTGGCGCGAGTCATCTAAGAAGAAATCACCACAGTTATTTATCATTATTTTATCGATGCACGCATCGGGTTAAGCGATTTTTGTCCGCGCGAACGATTCTTCCTCGAGGTTCATATTAATAGGGAGCACACAATGTCAATGACCAAATAAAATTGTTTAACAGCCGGTCGTGTGTCGTGGCTGTTACATTGACTCAGATGCGGCTTTATACGCGATAAGAAGTACCATTGACATAGATAAACGACTGCCAAATTTAACTCGCCACGACGTCGAGGCTGTGTCAAGGGTTCGGTCAACTGCTTCAGACATTTCTGGATGATTCAGTCCTGTTGCTTTCGAATACGTCGATCGATATTTTAATGAATAATTTTTAGACGAATTTCGTCTCGTTTAACTATATGCAATTACATCGTTCCTATTAAACATTACGAAATACCAGGAGGTACTTCAACTTTATTCGTCCTACTAATATGGTGTTTTAATTTCTTCTCTTCAACGCAGTTTCCCAATTATTTACTGCAAAATGTTATTAAAGTCATTTAGTCTAATCATCAATCTTATACTTAAACATTCGTTCGAGTTCGTTACAAGAATCATGGGTTCATAAATCATCATTATTCAATCAAAATGAAATCGCGTGTCTCTATTTTGCGCGTCTAGTATGCTAACTAGATAATGATTTCCTTATTTCTGAATCTTCTGCTTGTTCCTGATCTGCTCGTTCATCTCAGCTTGTCGAACAAGGTAACCGCAATACGCGTTTAGCCGTACGGTCAAAACGATCCGAACCATCGAATATCGAGTTTCGATCACGGGGTTTCGAAGACGATCTCGAGGCGATGCTCGCGCGCGATCGCAGCTTCGAGACTCGAACGAACGTGGATCAATTGAACGCGCAGATACGGCGAAGTGAGAATGCACTTGTTGTATATATAACCTTCGGTAAGTTAACTACATTTGACCTCAATGCAATAATTAAGAACAATCAGTTCGCGAAAGAATGTGCTAAAGCTAGACGCGACGATCCTCTCTGCTCCTCGTCCCTGACAACAGATTTGCAATGATGAATTGCCATTTTTATCCCGTCCCGTTGTTCCATATCCGCCAATTGATTAGGAGCCTTTATGTATCGGTCTGTACTCTATCTGGGTCGATTCTTTGATCCTTGCTGTGCACATCGAGATCTCAAATGATCTGCCACACGGAAGTCATCGTCAGGTCATTCTTAACATTTTCGTTATCTCATATCTCGATCATTCGCATTTTCTTCATTTTAGAAATCGGTGGGTCTGAATTTCTATGTAACTTGTTAGGGAAATTGTAATTGTAGCAGTTAGGGAATTTGGGGACTGAGAAACTTGGGGTCTAGGAAATTTTGGAACTAGTGAATTTGGAACCAGTGAATGTTGGAACTAGTAAAATTTTGGAATTTGGAACTAGGGAATTTTAGAACTTGAGAAATTCGGAACTAGAGAAATTGGAACTAGGGAATTTTGGAACTTCAAAATTTGGAACTAAGGAATTTTGGAACTTGAGAATTTAGAACTAGGGAGTTTTGGAACTAGAGAATTTGGGACTAGGGAGTTTTGGAACTTGAGAATTTTGGAACTAGGGAATTTTGGAACTAGGGAATTTTGGAACTAGAGAATTTGGAACTAGGGAATTTCGGAACTTGAGAAGTTGGAACTAGGGAACTTTGGAACTTGAAAATTTGGAACTAGGGAATTTCGGAACTTGAGAATTTGGAACTAAGGAATTTTGGAACTTGAGAATTTGGAACTAGGGAGTTTTGGAACTTGAGAATTTTGGAACTAGGGAATTTTGGAACTAG